ACTGTTATTTGTATTATTGTTAGCTTAATATGTTAGCTGAATAGTTTTGTTTTATAAATTCAGGCATAATTTGAATACAACTTTTTTTATTCTAATTGTTAAAACTTAAAATGTATCTTAAAAAAAAAAAATAATCCTTTAAAATTAAGTACTTATTCATATATTGAATAATTCACTCAGTTACTAGTACAAGTTTTGAACTTAAAAAAAATGCATTTGTGTGAACGGCCAAAATTGTGTATAAAGCATCAACATACATTTGTATTACATTTTAGTATATGATTATGGTAGACAAATGTTGATTAAAGCGTAAATAACAAATTTTAAAAAGGTGGGCAAGTGGGTGTCGCTCTGCTGTACAGTAGGTTACAAGTGGGTCACTGTATAATGGATGGTATTAAATTTGAATTCAATGATATAATATCATTGTATAAGAAAAACGATTCTGAGCGGTGACGGTATGTCAGTCTATGTATAAGACATACTATATATACATATCTATGGTATTAAACAAAAAATTGACCTATAATAGGTACCTATAATAAATTCCAAATTAATCATATCACAATATCCATTAGATACTTATAACGCGTTATACATCAACAAAAACCGTGATACTATCATAGATATATAATAGTACACTTTAGAAGTTTCAAGTACCCACGAATAATATTATTCAATCACAACAAAATAACTAAAATAGTTATTCTAGGTTTTTTAATATGTAATTTCGTCCAAATTTGAATTTAAAATGTCTGTAAAAAATTACTGTGTTCATATGTTTTTTAGATTTTTTGGTTACAGTATGATCTATTTACGAGAACCTTTGTGTTGAATTTGCAATCCTTAGCTATAAAAACTGAACATTTTATAATTTACTAGCTCTAAGTGTAACTCGGGGCCCGTCGGACTCGCTGGGAGTAGGTACCGATTTTGGAGACAATGAATTATAAAAGTCTCAAAGGTTGTAAGACGAAAGTTTAGGATTTGTGATATGGATTGAAGATAAGGCTAGACGCTTTATGGGAATGTTTAAAGTTTGAGCGTCTAGCAATCCGTCACAAACGTTGTAAATGGATAGGCTGGATACGATCTCCAAGATCACCGATATAGAGTATACCTGCACATAGAGTGGTATGTTCCGTAGCATGACCGGTGCCTTATCTTATGTAAAAAGTGTAAAGTCGAAAAACGTGTTTGAGTTTCTAGCAAGTCAGTCATCTCAAGTTAAAATCTATTAACTTTCAAGTTAGCCACTTAGGTAGGCAATCCGACTTCGTCGGATCGCGGACAATGTGCTACAGCAAATCAGGTAGGCAATCCACCTGCGGTGGATTGCAGACCCGACGTCAAGCGGCTATAAGTGAAAACCCTATCACACAACTTACGAAATAATTTTCGAAAAATTCAAGCTATATACAATATACATACAAACAAATATGATATGTATTTATTGTGTGATATAATATAACAATGAACATTCTGAGAAATGTGCTATTATAATTCCTAAAAAAAATTTACATATAGGTAGATAGTTAGATAGGTACACACTATTATATTAACCAATACAATAAATATAAACATGTACCTATAGTGTATATACATATATTAATTTAAAAAAAAAAATGCAAAAACCTGCATGTTAAAGTGTCTATCAAGTCAATCATCACCGTTTAATACGAAACTAAAATGAGCAATCCGCCTATCACCTATATATAGTAGGTATATCACATAGAGTGGTATGTGCCTTCTCATGTCCGGTGCCTTTTCTTATGTAAAAAGTGTAAAATCGAAAACCGTGTTGGAGTGTCTAGCAAGTCAGTTATCTCAAGTCAAAATCAAGATTAACTTTCAAGTTAGCCACCTAGGTAGGCAATCCGAAATAAAATACAAACTATATTTATATAACAATCATGGAAATTTTAAAAAATATGCAATTATAATAATTCCTAATAAATCAAAATATAAAATATGTATCTATTTATTGTGTGATATAATATGACAATGACTTTAAATAATAATAATGTTCCTATATTATTATATTATTATTTAATTTATATGAAAAATATAGTGAAAAAAAAATGCAAAAAAAGTCGGATTTCGGGCGGCCGTGTAAACCTTACGGCAATGACGGTACGACGCCCGAACGGCATACGACGGATTTGAACTCGGGACCTACGTATTTCCTACCTAACGCCTAACCTACTCGGACACAATTTGAGATGTGGTTTACGGTCAAAACATCAAAACTTAAGCCGTGCGTCTACAGAGCGACGTAAACCGATATATTCGATGTACATCGATGTAATCGCATATAATTCGCTTGTAATACGCGCATCTCCCATATATATATTTAACGGGGTGTGTGAAAAGCGTTTTTCGTTAATAATTATTAAATCATAGGGAAAAATTAAATTATACACGTATATACATGTATATATACGCGTACGGTCGGTCGGTCGCCGGCGTAATTTCTAAACGCGATTGCGAGGCGAACGAACCGATTTCGGGGGAAAAGCCCATATAAACGGCTTTAAAAAGACGTCGACTACACGATTCGGGCACAAACGGCGTGCGAATAGACGAAACGGTGGGAGAACAGGAAAAAATCGGCAAAAAAGTCCGGTCGGGAGTGTATTTTTCGATCGATATTGCGACCGCTTCGGACGGCGCACGAATATAAACCGCACACCGGCAGCTTCGAATTATGTATAAAAAAGGACCAAAAGGGTCGAAATCGTGTAAAAACAGCTAATTTTCCGAAAAATTCAAAAATCGGCGAATGATAGGAAAAGAGGTGATAACGAAAAACGTTTTAAAACCGACCGCCGCCGCTGCGGAGGTACGCGATTGGTCGCGCTATAAGGAATCGACGGGACATGGCCGGCCGGCTGGGGAAACGGAGCGGTGCTTCATTTTTTACTCCACGGTTTCACTCTAACTGCGTTTTCCGTTCCACGGGTTGCTTGTAGACAGCTGATTTCCTTGTCATTTTATATATTAGGACTAGCTCTAAGTGAAACTCGGGGCCCGTGGAACTCGCTGAGAGTGGGTACCGATTTTGGAGACAACGTCGTTGGTATTATAAAAGTCTCAAAGGTTGTAAGACGAAAGTTTAGGATTTGTGATAAGGAGTAGTGATATGGATTGGAGATAAGGCTTGGCGCTTTGGCGGGAATGTTTAAAAGCTAGCAATCCATCACGAACATTGTAAATGGATACGATCTCCAGGATCTCAAGGCGTTTGTCAGCTGCTTTTGGTTGTTGAAATTGTTAAAAAGTGTAGAGTCGATATGTGCATTTGATTGTCTAGCTATCAGTCATAAAATCACATAGGTAAGCATATGCGAAGCGTATATTATCAGGTATGCATTCCACCTGCGGTGGATTGCGGACCCCGTTAGTTGCGCAGATAAGTGAATAATCAAAAATATAGATTCTAGTTGGCCTATGAGACTCGCTGAATTTGGGGGTACCAATTTTGGAGTAAGAGTCGTTTCAATTATTAAAGGAGCGACAATCGTAAGATGAAAGTTTAGGATTTGTGATAAGAATTAGTGATATGGATTGGAGATAAAGCTTGGCGTTTTGGCGTAAATGTTTAAAAGTTTAAGCGTCTAGCAATCCGTCACGAACGTTGTAAATGGATACGATCTCTAGGATCTCTAGGCGTTTGTCATCTGCTTTTGGTTGTTGAAATTGTTAAAAAGTGTAGAGTCGATATGTGTATTTGATTGTCTAGCTATCAGTCATCAAATCACATAGGTAAGCATATGCGAAGCGTATATTATCAGGTATGCACTCCACCTGCGGTGGATTGCGGACCCCGTTAGTTGAGCAGATAAGTGAATAATCAAAAATATAGATTCTAGTTGGCCCATGAGACTCGCTGAATTTGAGGGTACCAATTTTGGAGTAAGAGTCGTTTAAATTATAAAAGTAGCGACAGTCGTAAGATGAAAGTTTAGGATTTGTGATAAGAGTTAGTGATATGGATTGGAGATAAAGCTTGGTGCATTGGCGGGAATGTTTAAAAGTTTGAGTGTCTAGCTATCAGTCATCAACGGTGTAAGTACGCATATTTTACACTTCTTTTTTGTGGTTTTTGGGTCTGTTCAAAAGTTTGAAGTCAAAAAACCATTTACCTAATCGATTGTCTAGACTATCAGCGCACTTTGTTCAACGTGTAATTATGATCCATATTGCACCAGCCCTTTTTATTAGTAAAAAAGTGTACGTCGATAATTTGATTATTAAGTCGATATTTATAAAGTTCATTAATTTACAAAAAATAGAAAATCCCAAAGTACCTATATATTTATATAAATGTGTGTTTATTGTATGATAAATGATAAAAACATATTATAAACACAATTAGGTGTCATAATAAATTACACTGTCTTAATGTACCTAATTAATTAAAAGAAAATAAATATACGATCATTGTTATGATCAGATCAAGGCTATTTAGTGCATGTAATTAACAAAATTAATCATAGGGATGTCAATATTAAAATCCATTTGAATATGGTACATGTTATTATTTAATGAGTGCTGTCTTAAATAATTTAATAATTAATACATAAATTAATACATGCTATTTATTTAATATCATAAAAAATACAACAACTATTATATTAATATAGATTTTTATAATAGTTCAGAACAACCATACAAAATTAATAATAACAAGAACTATTTGATAACAAGCATATCACTGATAATACTTTTTATCACTAAGTATTATCACATCTCCCCTTTTTACTTAACAACATAATGTGCTTAATTTCACAATATACTTTAAATAACAATTTTTTCAAAATTACATAAAATTAACATAACAAGATATACATTATTATTGGAATAGTACAATGAGATAAATTACTTAATTTTCTAGTGTATGATGCTATATAATATTTACATTTTTTTTTTTTTTTTTTTTTTTTTTTTAATTTGAAATTTATTGACAACTTTTTAAATTTTTGAACGTAACCATAATCTTATAAGTCTAATTTTTTAGGTTTTACCACCTTTCTCCCTATCCTGGTTCTATCTTCTTTTTGATATGCTTGATTACAAATCTTGTTGTAATGTTCTTCATTACTTAACTTGCCATACTCCTCTCTTTCACCCTCTACTCTGATCTGTTTCCTTATTCCTATTTTCTTAAGAAAACTGGTATTCCTCCTTAACATCCTACCATTTCTGTCTTTCACTAAGTATGATCTGGGTTCTTTCAGTTTTTTAATTATCTTTCCTTCATGCCAATTTTTTGTACACTTGTCCTGCATATAAACTTTTTCACCTTCCTCAAAGCAACTAATATTTTTATTCGCACCTCTGTTATAATACAAAGCTTGTTTTCTTTTTGAGTCCCTCATTTTCTCTACACAGTTTTGTATAACAGGTTTAAATAGTTTTTTTCTGTGTACCACATTCATTTTAGATCTTACTTCTCTGCTTTGTAACAGTTGAGCTGGCGTACACTGCAATCCTGTAATAGGCGCATTGCGATAATTTAGTAAGTACAGCTCTAAATCCTGTTTTTCATGAGTCGATTTTCTAATTAGCATCTTTGCTATACCAACAGCCTTCTCCGCTAACCCATTACTTTTAGGATAATTAGGACTTGAGTTTATGATAGTAAAACCCCAGGCTGAAGCAAATTTTTTAAATTCAAGACTACCACAAGGATTGTTATCAGCTATAATAACTTCAGGTATTCCAAACCTACTAAAAACTTTTTTTAATTTTTTAATTACTGCAGTGCTAGTTTTTTGTTTAAGTTTAAGAATCTCAAGCCACCTTGAGTAATAGTCCATTACAATTAGATAGTTTCTTCCCCCTACTTCAGCAATATCTATACCAATTTTCAAAAAAGGAAAATCTGGTATACTGTGGCTTAGCAATGGTTCTTTAACTTTACTTCTACTGAATTTTAAACATACTACACATGCTGTAATATAATTCTGTATATTAGAACTCATCCCAGGCCAATAAAATACAGTTTTTGCTTTCTCAATTGTTTTAACGACACCTAGGTGTGTTTCGTGAAGTTTTTTAATTATATATTGTCTTAAAAGCTTAGGAACCACTAACCTCATACCATAATATATCAAATTGTTTTCAATTAAAAGTTCATTTTTTATCTTGCTAAAGTGTTTTAATTCACCCTCCAAATTTTTTATATTTTCAGGCCACCCTGTTTTTATGAATTGGTTAATTTTATTTAAATCTTGATCACTATCTGTAGCCTGTATGAACTCCTTTTCTTTTTCATTAGTAAACTCTATATCAATTTCATTGACTATGTGTACTGTGTCCTCTAGATCTACATCTACAATGCTTTGTGTCACTACATAATTTCTACTAAGGTAATCAGCCACATACATCTGCTTACCTGGCAAATAATTTACTGAAAGATCATATATCATTAATTTAATTAATAATCGCCTTAATCTATTATTGGGAATTTTATGAATTTCTTTACCCATTATAGAAACTAGTGGCTTATGATCTGTGAATATTTTAACACTACTTTGACCATATATTAGATAATGAAACTTAGAACATGCAAACGTTATAGCTAGCATTTCTTTTTCTATTTGTGCATAAGATGTCTCTGTCTCTGTTAAACTCCTAGAAGCAAAATGTATTGGTCTTTTATTTTGGAACAGACAACACCCTAACGCCCCTTGAGATGCATCACATTGTATTTCTAGATTACCTATTTTACTATTAAAATTACTTAAAGTTGGAAGTGCACTTAGGATTTCTTTTAATTTACTAAACGAATTTTGGCAGTGCGTATCCCACGACCAAATTATATTTTTCTTTAACAGGGACCTCAATGAACCTGTTATTTCGGACATGTTAGGAATAAATTCTCTAAGGTAGTTTACCATTCCCAAAAATGACTGTAATTCTTTTTTATTGGTTGGTTCTTTTAGATTTTGTATGCTTTGAATTCTTTCCTGGTCAGGGTAAACTCCTTTTTCATCAAAAATAAATCCTAAAAACTTTACTTTTGTTACACATAATTGTAATTTTTTAGGATTAAATTTTATGTTTAACTTCCTAGCTTGTTGTATGACCTCATTTAAAATTTCATCATGTTCTGCTTTATTTGTAGCACTAATCAATATGTCATCAAAATACACCACAACATTTTTTATGTGACCAAAATACTTATAAATAAGTTCTTGGAATTTTTCTGGGGCACTAGACAACCCAAACGGAAGTCTTAGAAATTGATAAGTGCCAAATGGTGTTGAAAAACTACAGTATTTTTGGGAATTTTGATCAAGTTCACATTGATGGTACCCGTCTTTAAGATCTAACAGTGTATAAAATTTTTTATTTGCTAATTTAGGCTTTAGTTCTTCTAACGAAGGAATTTGATAACGTTCTTTAATAATGAATTTATTTAACTCCCTGGGATCAATGCAAATTCTTAATGTTTTGTCTGGCTTTTCTACAGTTACCATATTACTTTGCCATTCACACGGCTCTTTAGCTCTTTTAATTATTTTTAATTTCTCCATTCTAACTAAAGTTTCCTTTACCCGATCATATATTTTAATAGGCACCCTCCTCGGTGGACATGCCTTAGGAATTGCCTCTTTATTTAATTTAATATTTATTTTATCTGGGAAATTACCTAATCCTTCAAATACATCACTGTTCCTCTGTATAAATTCTTGTTTTTCTTTATCTTCTAATTTTACTACATTTATTTCTGACGGTATGTTAAATTTAAACTTAATACAATCATTATAACTGATTATAGGCAATCCTATATAATCAACGATCTCAAATTCTGTCTCATGCTTGATATTTCGACTTTGAACCCATAACTTGACCTTACCCACAGAATTTATTTTAAATCCTCCAAATGCTGTGATTACTATATTACTTTTTTGAGCTGTTTTATCAAGTTTTTTGAAGAAACTTATTGGCAATACATTTATTTGTGCACCCGTATCCAATTTCACTTCAGACTCAATATTCTCAATTATTAATTTATTAGTCCAACATCTATCACTTTTATTCACCTCATTTATTTCTACTGTATCTAATGACAAATTATTTTCTTTAGTTACCATGGTATTCACCAAATGTTTTTCTTTATTCCTACATTTAATTTCAAAATGATTTAATAGCCCGCAACCTTTACACTCTTGTCCAAACGCTGGACACTCATTTAAATTATGATTACGTCCACATCTATTACAATTAATAATTTGTTTTTTTTTTACATTTTTATTACATGTATTATTATTACCTTTCTGTCTGCTAAGCTCACCTTCTTTCTTCTTCCAATCAGTATTTGTAGCCTTTTTCTTGTTTTGTTTGTGTTCTGTGTTTCTGCGATATGAATTCTGTTCAACGACGTTGATTTCATTTGATGATTCCTCTTGAACTATACGACGATGTATTTCTGCTTGCTCCACCAGCTGACAGTGTTTGATTACATTGTTTAGAGTCGGATCTTCCCTCAGCAACCGAGTTTGTAATTCTTTGTCGGTGATACCCAATACTATTTGTGTTTTTAATAATTTCTCTTCACACTGGCCAAATTCACATATTTTAGCCAGCTTCCGTAGATCTGCATAGAACTGATCAAACTTTTCACCTTCTTGTTGCTTTCTCGTGAAAAATTGAAAATTTTCCATAATTTCATTTTGACGAGGAATGCAATATTTTTCTAGTGCTTCCAGTATTTCATCAACCCTTTGATGTTCAACAGGGAGTGTTTCTAACAACCTGTTTCCATCACTACCTAATAAGTTTAACAACCGTGCAACTTGAATTTCATGTGATTTCTTCGTTGTTTCCGTAGCCAAAAAGTAAATTAGTATTTCATGCTTGAACCGTTTGAAGTTATCGCTGATATTCCCGGTCAATACCAGAACTTCAGGTTTGTTAAACTCCATTATAATTTATTAAGTACTAGTGTAAATACTCACAACACCAACTAACCATGTGCTCTTTTATCCACTTGGATCTTGATTAGGGCCTTCAGGTTCTTATAAACGACTGCGCCATGTTATTATTTAATGAGTGCTGTCTTAAATAATTTAATAATTAATACATAAATTAATACATGCTATTTATTTAATATCATAAAAAATACAACAACTATTATATTAATATAGATTTTTATAATAGTTCAGAACAACCATACAAAATTAATAATAACAAGAACTATTTGATAACAAGCATATCACTGATAATACTTTTTATTACTAAGTATTATCACAGTACATTGCCATTTTTGTTGTTTTGTTAAAAAATATAATATGTTTAGTATACATACCTATCTATTATATCGTTTTTAATAAAAGTATAATTTAACTTAACCTATATTGCAGTATGTCATTGATACTATTAAAATTATTTATTTATTTTAGCAAATTGTGTGCGTAATGGAACCGTTTGATTTAGTATGGTATGTATAATATATTGAATCAAAAACAGTAGGTAAACAATATTTTAAACAGAAAGTCGGGTGTTAGTTACATACAGCGCCGGATCATAGCTTTTTAACACCCGGGGAAAATTACAAAAAATACGCCCATCCAGGGAGATGACCAGAATTAGTATTTTTTTTACGAAAAATCAAGCACACTCACACAGTATTGCGAGGAACTGAGGACCAACATTTACAAAAAATTTCCAAATGCACTGCAGGACCAATCATTATTCATTTATTTACCACAAATAATTTGAACGATTTTAACTTAAAAATGAAACATTTTAAATTTTAAACTATTCACGTAATATAGTTTTAGAAGCACTTCTGAATGGTGTATTTAAAGCTAAAATCTGTGGTCAATATTTCTAAGTTCCAGGTTTAGAATAAATAATATTGATAATAATAACATGAATAAATTATTTATTAACAAATCTAAATTAGGTATCCATTGCTTACTTTTAATGTAGGACGCTTTATGTAAAAGAACAATATTTAATTTACAACATACCTATCAATATTATACATTTTCATTTTTAATATTTGTTACAATCAAAACTTAATAATATGTTATACCTAGGTACGGAATAAATACAATGAAACAAAAATGTAATTATGTACTGAAAGTTGTAATAATATAATGATTATAACACGACAAAGAAATATTTATCATGGATTATCACTTACGGATTGAATGTACCTATATACTAAAATAACTACATTCTACATTCTATATTTTAAAAATTTCCAGAATAATAAGGACCTGGTTGTCTGTTTGACATCTTGAAGTATAAAAATAATTTAGACAAAAAACACAGTTTATAATAAAAAAAAAACGAACCAAATAGAATATAAATTTCCTTTTAAATTATTTTAATATAATATGTAAAACATAATATTCAATCTGTCTTGGGCTACAATCAATAGGATAGTATTTTTGTTTTAATTATTTAATTATGTTGTACTTTTGTAGTATCAAGTTTATCAAGTAAATTAATAGTTGTATACTTGTACCCATTTAAAAAGCAAACACAAATGACAAATTATATATTTTTTACATATATTTATGTTTTTGAATTATAGTCTGATATGACGCAATTTATTACGAAATACCTAAAATTTTATAAAAATTGTAACTTAGCTATTAATAGTACTCCATCATCACCAATAACTAATAAGAGGGTATCCTCAGTGGTGAGATGAGCCATTTAACCATAATATATATATCGAAATTGTATCTTCTCTTGGCCAATAAAAATATATTATTATTATTATATTATATTTTGTGTCCTGTTTCATTTATCTAGTGGCCATGGTGAAATTTATAAAAAAGTTCAGTTTATAAAAAGGCATTAATTGTTAAATACAAAGACTTTTATAAGCCTAGGTACGAACATGTAATTTAATAAATAATCTGAAAACAATTAAATCATTAGTACCTAAGTAACATTTTATGTAGTACATAATTTTATGTAGTACCTACCTATTTGGAAAAATATATAGTTGTTAATTTAAAATCACATAACAATGAATTACAATTAATAGTGCGATTTTTGAGATTAAGGTTTTAAACAACTATCTACATAATATTATATTATATGCAAGAAAATTATGTAATTTACCATACATTATTATGTCACTAATCGGAGAGTACATTAATCTATTTATGATAGACTAAGGCATGTACACTCCCGCTGACAGTAAATTGCGGACGGGTTTTATTTATTTTATATTTTTATCTATTTTTTACCTTTTTCATATTTGTCCTTTTTAATATTTAAATCAATGTTATTAGCAGGGCTTGAAACCGAAAAAAAATTTTCCGGTTTCGGTTTCGGTTTCGGATACCGGTTTTGATTTTTTCCGATTTCGGTTACGGTTTCGGATACCGGTTTTGAATTTAAACTATTATAACTTATTAGTTATTAATAATCTCGATTAAAAATAACATTATTTTATTTTATTCCCATACCCAATATTACACATTTCCTGTGAAATATTATTTTGTACTTAATTTTGACTTTTTTTTTAAAGTCCATTTTCAATTTTCAATTTAAAAAATATCTAAAACCTTAAAAATACGCCACGAAAACTATACGCCCAGGGATAAATCCCCGACTCCCCCCCCTAGATCCGGCCCTGGTTACTTAGTTGAAATAGTACCTACAATGATAAGATATATTTTGTACAAACAAACAAATGAATTGACAGTGATTGTAAAACCGTAATGAATACATAAAACCGTGTTTAGAATAATTAGTTAAAAATGAAATAGTTAAGTAATAAGTTACAATGATGAACGTACATAACATTATATTTGTTCTATATAAACAATTGAATAGTTAAATCACAATAATACGCATTATAATATATTTTTTTATATACAGACATGTAATTAGTAAGAAATGCAATAGTTAAATTACAATTATGTACATGACATTATACTTTTTTTTAAATAAACAATTAATTAGGTAAAAATACAACGATAAAGGTACATGACATAATATAATGGTATAAAAATTTAGTAGTAAAAATATTCATACAGTAATGTAATATAATTTAAATTTAAAAAAACCAGTAACTATAATTTGTAAAATCGAAAAAAAAACATGTTTACCCACGTAAATACATATTATATTATAATACATAAAAAAGGTGGGCAAGAGGGTGTCGCTCTGCTGTACAGTAGGTTACAAGTGGGTCACTGTATAATGGATGATATTAAATTTAAATTCAACGATATAATACCATTGTATAAGAAAAACGATTCTGAGCGGAGATGGTATGTCAGTCTAGGTATAAGACATATTATATACATTATACATATCTATGGTAGGTACTAAACCAAAATTTGACCTATAATAGGTACCTATAATAAATTCCAAAATTAATCATATCACAATATTCATTAGGTACTTATAACGGGTTATACATCAACAAAAACCGTGATACTATCATAGATGTATAATAGTACACTTTAGAAGTTTCAAGTACCCACGAATAATATTCAATTATATTCAATCACAACAAAATAACTAAAATACCTAGTTATTCTAGGTTTTTTAATATGTAATTTCGTCCAAATTTGAATTTAAAATGTCTGTAAAAAATAACTGTGTTCATATATTTTTATATTTTTTGGTTACAGTATGAACTATTTATGAGAACCTTTGTTTTAAATTTGCAATCCTTAGCTATAAAAACTGAACATTTTATAATTTATTAATTACAATGATTGATAATTTTCCAGATTTTGATAAATTTTGTCAATATTCGATCTTTAAATGCTTATAAAAAAAAAATAGTACATATGTATTTTTAATATTTTTCAACTAGTATTGTAACAATATATCAGGAGCCTTGTATTAAATTTTTACACTTTTTGGCCCAACAGATAAAACTTTATTAATATTTATAGAAAAAAAAACTTAAAAAAATTGAAAGCGGTAAATGTCCGTTAACAGCTCAAAGAGAGTCAAAATATTTTCAAAATTGTATGGTGTATAGAAAATGCTAATTTAAACATTCAGTGAAATTTTCATGTATCTACAGTTGTTCGTTTTTGAATTGCAACAAAATAAAGAAATCGCTACATGAGTAATCGAGTGAATATCCAATGTTGTAAAAATTTGAATTTCAAACGCTCATAAAAATTTAATTTGACTGTCCGGTAGGGATTTTTTTATTGATAAAGGTAGATAATCTTATAAGGAATCTTGTGTTTCATTTTCAAATCTTAGATTTAAAAAGAAAAATTTTTACGAATTCTTAACTCAAAATAATTTGCTAATTTTCGTGATTTTTCCATATTTTGTCAATTTTTGAACTTTAAATGCTTATAAAAAAAAACTGTGACTAACGATTTTTAATATTTTTCATCTGCCTTTGAAACAATATACTAGGAGCCTTCTATTAAATTTTCAAGTTTTTTTACCAACAAATAAAATTTTATTGATATTTCTAGAAAAAAAACTAAAAAAAAATGAAAAATGAAAATGTCCCTTAAACAGTTCAAAATAAATCAAAATATTTTGAAAATGTTATCGTGTATAGAAAATGCAAATATAAACAACCGGTGAAAATTTCATGTATCTACGGTCATTCGTTTTAAAGTTACACCAAAAACCAAATTCAATTTTCTGAAAAATCGATTTTGCGTAAAAATTCCCGTTTTTCCTTAATTTTTCTTTTGTTTTTCTTGGCTCTTTTGAAAAGTACTGGGAGTTTTAAATGTTGACCTCCCCAATGCACCAACGATATTCACTTTCCAATCGAACAAGATACTGAAGTCGAAAATTGAAGCATTATTTCGACTACTTATCGTGTACACAGACACAAAAATAAAAAATAAATAAATATAAAAACACACATTATTGTAAAATCAATACATTCATCGTTCCACTCAGAATCTAAAATTACAGGCGTAATAATAATTAATGATATGAACAGAGAATACTACATTATTAAATGCAACATTTCATATCCATATATATATAAATGAATGTATCAAGATTTTCAAGGAATACATTTGAGTTCAAGAGCGTTCAATAAGTTACATGTGCAATATACAAGCGATAAGTATCGGACTCTTATCGGACTCAGACTTCGATACGAGCCGGTACCTAACTATTCCATATCGATAAGTATCGAATTTTTCTTCTTGAAAATCTTCTATGTGTGTGCGTCCATATTACCATGTCAACCATATATATATTATTTTGAGATTTCTGTCCGTGTGTGTCTTCATATTACCATGACAACCAATTATATATTATTTTGAAATTTCCAATGGAATGTTTTGTATATAAATGGTTGTTATGGTGATATGTAATTATGTAAAACATATTATTCATATAGAGTTGGGAATTTTAATGGGCAATGAAGTGCATGGGATCAGATATTTTTATATATATATATAGAATATAGATAGATTAGACCTCTGGGCAGAAGTTAGGGTAATTTACAAAGGAAGAAGACCAACCCCGCTATGATGTTCTCAAACAGGGATTTTGAGATTTCCGATGGAAATTATTGTTTATTAATGGTTGCCGTGGGTTTCAAACCTATAATAATAATAATAATTATTGGTTGCCATTGGTTTAAAATTGTTGTTATATTATAAATAAAATATTATTATATAATATTTTTTTTTTTTTTTATTGTTACAGCATCAACATCATGGTTATTAGCTTACAATAATTAGATTATATAGTTATACATAGGGGGTTTTTACAATGATTATTAAAGAGAAAAGGGGGAAAAAGAATGATAAATAAATATAAACAAAGATAAAAAAATAATAATAAAAAAAAAAAAATAGAGTTAAATTTAGTTATACATTTCAATTTTTTTTAAAAATGTGATAATTTTTTGTATGTCAGCATAGGGTCCTATGGCTTCATATAGATTGTCTGGTATTTCGCATTCTTTTCTGGCTTCTATGAATATTTGGCAGTGGATGATGATGTGTTTGATTGTAAAGGAAATGTTGCAAGAGCGGCATATTGGTGGTTCGGTCTTTTCCATTAGGTATCCATGAGTAACTCTCGTGTGACTAATTCTAAGTCGGTTCATAATGACATCTTCCTTTCGATTTGAAGAGTTGAGTTTTGGCCAAGGTTCGACTGACTGTTTGATTTCCCTTAATTTGTTTTCGGTAACTTGACGCCAATCTGAGTCCCATAATTGTATACAGTATTTGTCAACGTTCCTGATAATATCTACTGGCGACATAAGAGAAAGTTTTATGGAGTTGGGGTTACTTATAGTATTTCGGGCTGCTTTGTCTGCTTCTTCGTTTCCTTTGATATTGCAGTGACCCGGAGTCCATATAAAACGTATGTATTTATTCGATAAATGTATTATATTTTTTATCTTTATGACTAATTGATTGATCTGAGAATTATATTTTATATTTGACAGGACACTGAGTGAGTCGGATCATATGTCGATTCTGTCATAATTAGTATTAGCAGCTGTTTGGACTCCTTTTAAAAGTGCTATGTATTCAGCTGTATAAATGCTGCTATGACTATTTAATTGGAATACTTGGTTGGAACTTTCATGTATAACAGCCAGACCTATGCCTGTTGACGCTTTAGATGCATCTGTATAGATTTGTGAATTATTATGGTTATCCGTATGAATTAGTTCATTAAATAAATTTCGATAGACTATTTCAGGTGTTTCTCTTTTTACATGGGCACTAAGACTGGTATCAATTTCGAAGTTGTGTACACTCCATGGAGGAGTGAGACAGGTTTCATATTGAAGGATTGTATCAGGGGAGATGTTGTTGTCGGACATTTCTTTGCAAAGTCTTGTACTTAGTGGTTTTCTGCGATTCGTGTTTAAATCATATACAGATGAAGATTGGTTTATGTTTAAATAATGGATAGTTGAATTATCAGGAGTCGACAAAATTCTGGTTATATATTTGAGTGATAGTCTTAGTCTGCGATATTTAAGTGGAGGCTTCCCAGTGATGGCTAATAAGCTAGAGATAGGGCTACTTCTGAAGGCTCCAGTTGCACATCTTATACCAGTGTTATGAATTGGGTCAAGAATTTTGGATATATTACAATTAGAGTTTCCATAGCAGATTGAGCCGTAGTCAAGTTTTGATCTAACTAGTGATCTATATAAATTTAATAGAATGGAATACTCAGCACCCCACTCTAGATGACTAAGTGTTTTGATTACTCTTAGGTTTTTGTAGGCTGATTTTTTGGTTTTCAGAATGTGAGGTTTCCATGTTAATTTAGAGTCAAAGGTAAGGCCAAGAATAGTTATGTTTTCAGTAAAAGGTAGACCGATGGTATTCAAATAGATTTTGGGTTTGGTTATGTTCTTTTTGTTGGAAAAAAGGATACATTTTGTTTTGTGTGGAGAGAAAATAAAGCCTGAATTATGGCACCATTTTGACAGTTCATTGAGGCAGTTTTGTAGTACTCTAGTTATTGAAGGGATTGAATTTCCTCTAACGTAGATGTGTGTATCGTCAGCAAAGATAATTGATTTGATTGGTTTTGGTATGAAGTCAGGAAGATTGTTGATGGCGGTTTGAAATAAGAAAACACTGAGCGGAGATCCTTGAGGTACTCCATTTTCTAATACAAAGTTATTAGAGGTGTAATCCCTGATTTTTAATTAAAAAGTTCTTTGGCTTAGGAAGTTAGTTAAGTATCTTATCATATTACCGTGAATGTTCCATTTTTTTAGCAGTTCGATCACTCTGTAACGCCAAACAGTGTCGTAAGCTTTTTGTACATCTAAGCTGATAAGAATCATTATTTGTTTATTAGCCAATGTTTCCAGTATTTCTGATTCTATTTTTACGTGGCAGTCGGTGGTGGAATGGTGCTTTCTGAATCCGTGTTGAAAGGGTGATAGAAGTTTATGTTTATTCGCAAATCAATATAATCTGTTGTATACTATTTTTTCTAATAGTTTGCTCATGCTGCACAGGATAGAAATTGGTCGGTAACCGGTTGGCTTAAATCTATCATTGTTTTTTTTTGGTATGGGGGTGATAATAGCATTTTTCCATTTGATTGGTAATATCCCTGAACGCCAGATCTGGTTGAATAGTTTAAGTAGTAGGAGGTTGCCACTTGGGGGTAAGTTTTGTAAAAAAATAAATGGGATTTTGTCCGAACCACAACTGTTGCTCTTTTTTCCTAGTAGACCTGTATTTAGTTCACATAATGTTATCGGTTCATTTAGAATGTCTCCTAAGCTTTGGTTCTCATATATGAAATAAGAATTATTAGTTTCTGTTTCTTGTTTATGTTTTAGGAAATCAGAATTTAAGTTGGCGTTGCTGCTATTTGAATAAAAGTGATAGCCAATTGATTGAGCTATTGTATGGGGTTCGGTATGAGTTGTATTGTATTGTTATAATGGTTTTAATTTGTACCGATGGGATCCCTTTTATGATTTTGACTTTGTTCCAAATTCTTGTAGCTGATTCTTTTGAATTTAGTGTTGAAGTGAAATTTATCCATGATTTTTTTTTTTCATTTTTGATTAAAAATCTTACTTGTGCTTTGTTTTTTTTAAAATCAATAAAGTCCTGGATTTGTTTTGTGCGTTTATATTTGTTATAAGATGTCCTCTTATTTCTTATAGCGTGTTTAATATTCTTATTCCACCAAGGGACCGGGGGTCGTTTTCCAGAGTAGCTATATTGTTCAAAGGTACTTGAGGCTGTATCATAAATTAGTTTACTAAATTGTTCAATGTTTTCATCAATAGTATTTTCATTAGGAAAAGATGAATTTCTTAGATTTTTTCGATTTCCGTTTGGAAGATGTTCCAATCAGCATTATCATTTAGGGTTACGAGTGTGTATTTCATAAGAGTTGATATAACATAACGTTATTTTTATTGGAAAGTGATCACTACTAGAAAGCTCAAGAATGATGTCCCATTCTAAATTGGGTGATATTGTTGCGGAGGAGAAGGTTAGATCAATCGCGGAAAGGTTGACATTACTAGAGTTAACTCTAGTTGCTTGGCCATTGTTGAGAATGTTGATGTTATTGGTATTAAGTATAGTTTCGATTTTGGAACCTCTATGGTCGGTGACATTACAGCGTGTTGTGGCTATTGAAGTCACCAAGAATGATAAATGGGGTGGGTAGTTGATCAATAATATTTTGGATATCAGAAGCGTTGAAGTCTTGAGAGTTTGGTAAGTAAATATTGCAAATGGTTAAATTGCTTTTGGCTGTCATGTTTACAGCTATTACCTCAAGATGTGAGGATATGGTAATTTCTTCCGAAGGAAAAATATTGTTTATAAAAATGGCCACTCCACCGCTAGCTCTGCCTGCGTGATTTCTATTTTTAATATAACTTGAATAGTTATTTAAATGAATTGATTTGTGGTTGTTGAAATTTGTTTCTTGGATGCATAGTGCTATTGGAGAGAATTTGTTGACTAATAGTTTAATTTCATCGATTTTTGAATAGAATCCATTAGGATTCCATTGAATGATGTGGAATTTGTTTAAACTAAGTTTATGTTCTGCATAATGATTAAAAGTAAGGTTTTTTTTTTTTTTTACGTTGATTTTTGGTTGGTTTGGAATTATTCTGTGGAAACAGGATCTCCGGATACAGTTGAGTCTAATATTATTTGATATAATTTTGAAATCCTGTTTTTAAAAGCTGTATTCTTGATTTTCGGGCGGATAGTGTCAATGATTACAATCATTTCCATGGCTGATAAGTTAAAGGGTTGTATGATACTCATAGGGTTGGGTACACCTATTGTGTTTTCGATGATAAATTTTAGTTGAGTAAAGTTTATTTTTAAATTTGGTATTGTTTCAAATACGATTTTTGCTGGTTCAAGGGTTTGATCCAGCTTTAATATGATCTGTTCCAATGAATTTGATCTTTTTTGTTTTTTTAATTGTGGTTGGGGAGTTTTCACGGAATCTAGTAGCTTGTCTGACAGAGTTACCTTCTTTGGTTGTTGAATTTGCGTGTTGATTTGAGATGAAGAGCTATTAATTTGGTTATTAACGTTTGATGGATTAATAGAGGGGGAGGTGCTGGAGGTGGATGAGGCTGGCCTTTTTAGTGTCTGTGATGAGGTTTGAGTGGGGGGAGGGTTTTTGGATGCTTGTTCGGCAATGTTTTCGATGTTGGTTTTCATGTTTTTGTCCCCACTATTTGTACTTAGATCGATTGGAACATTATTATCTGTTTCCGTATGGTTGATGATAGGATTCGAGTTGTTTTGGAGGGTTGTGTGAAATTCGCTGTTTGAATTTGAGTCAATTAGCATACTATTATCTGCGTCTGTGTTATTGGAGACATGATTGGGGTTTTCGACGAAAATGGTTTGGGATTTATTTATAATTTCTTTTTTTGCAATAATTAGAAGTGTGGCCGGTGTAGTGATCCCTCACTAACGCTTATATTTTTGAGTTCAAAGACGTTGACGGTTGAATAGGAGAAAAGGTTGCAGAGACAAGTTACACAAGTTAGGTATAAGTAGTTTTATTAACGTTTTAAAAAGTAAATGATCACAATTAAGTGTAATATAAATTTGAGGACAGAGCGAAAAGCATCTGCCCGAGAAGTTAGTTACGTACAGTATGTACGTAGTGCAAACTCTAAACTAATTCTAATTTTGCAATAGACATCATCTTATATTTATATGAAATCTATGCGGATATAAAAGTACACGGTAGAGTCTAGGAGATGGATATTTGAAAGGAGCCTGGGGCTGGATGTTGTTATTGCCAAAAGACTCGAGTGGCTTATTGGCAATTTTAATAGGTTTGTTTTCGCATTATTTTGGCAAAGCGAAGATCGAGTGAATTATGGTTTTGTTTTCGCATTATTTTGATAAAGCGAAGATCCGTAAATTAATCGTTAGATTGATTTTTTAATTAAACTGCCAAACCCAAGGTATTGGAAAAGATTAATAGTATTGTTGTGGTTGTTGTTGTTGGTGCCCATCATGAGAAATGTAATTAAAATATTGAATATAGGAAAGCGACTCCGTCGGTTTACTACACCGGTTTGTTTACAGAGATAACATATCACTGTATCATCTGATAGAAAAATGCGATAATCAGTTTGTTCGAAATTAATTAGAATTGAACTGGGCATTTTATTGATGTCGTCAGGATGTATATAAAGCTGACGTCGAAAACTTCCTATGTGATTAAATTCATCATTAGCGAAACCTGCTTTCATAAATGTTATCGGTGAAACTATTTTAATTGATAAATTGTTGAATGCATTAGTAATATTATTGATCGATAAGTAAAAAAAAACGCAATATTTTAGGTATGCACTGAACGTTATTTGCATCGCCGAAGATATTATTATATAGACGTCGTAGACCAGACTGGTTCTTAAACTGTGGACCACAGCGGCGGTTCTATCTAAAATTAAAATACTACATTTTTTATGAAAAATTATGAATAAGAATAATAATTATAAATAACGTAGCCACGTATGTATGTTCGTATCGTGTATACCTACTTGATATTTGATTTGTAATATAAAACAAGTATTAAAATATTAATTATGATAATACGAGATATTTCGTAAAAAAAAAGGTAGGTAGGTATTCGAAAGAAAATTGGTAGGAGGTCCGCGATTTTTAAGAGTCTTCCATCAGGGGTCCAAAATTTTAAGAACCGCTGTCGCGGTCGTAGACGATTTACAGAGTACCTACCTACGTGTAATAATATCTGAGAATTCTGTAAGAGTAAAATAAAATACGGTAAAATGTTAATGACGATTATTCACCAACAACATTGTATGCACATAATTAATTATTTTAAAATGTAATAACTCAAAAATTACCATATAAAATGTCGATAAATATAATAAAATCGTAAAACCAAGCAATTACCTTCCTTCAGGTGCTCGGAGGGCTCTCGAGATCGTGTTTTCGAGAATTAGATCAAATACACTATACAACACAATCGTATATAAAACATGCACAGATAATATAATAAATGCAATTAATATAAAATATTATATTAATTGCATTACCTGATCCGCAGTCGTTTGTGAATTATCTTGTAAGGGTTTTAATAGACACAGAGTAACATTTTTTAAATTATAAATCGAAATAATAAACGCACTGATTATTGCTCACATAAGGAGTCCAGAATGTCGCTCGTTGAAATCGGTTTTTTAGACTTTTTTTTGGAGGTTGTTACTCTGTGAATGGTGCTCATGCACTGATTTAAGGGATGACGCGAAGATGACCAGAAAGTGGTAGGCGGCTTTATCAAAAGGTTATCGTGAGCTTGGGAACTAGATTATTCTTTGGCGGCAGATACCCTTTTTTTCTTTTCCTTTTCTCTGGCGGCATCATATAATAAAGTCACACACCCACACCCTGCGTTTTACCGTTATGAGTGCGTGCCGATATCTTAGTTGTCGTTAATAATGGTTTTATTTGATGTGACCGATTTCTACAAACGACAGTCTGGCCGTTATTTATTAGGTATTCTGTAAGATTTTAGTTTATTATAATGGTGTGTGAGCATATCATTACAAAAATTATCAAAATAATCAGAAATTTACTTGTTACCACTGCGCGATAATTAAAAAGCTACAATTAGGTTTTTATTTTAGATAATTATTATATTATATTAATTATTATATTATACGTATTTGTCTCCGTCACAGTGACCCGGGATGAATAAGCGAAGTAAGTCGCGTATAACTCCAAAAAAATTAGTATTTACTATGGGTTTTTTCCTTGTTGTATTATTCTGTAAAATGACAACACTACAATAAAAATGTACCGAAGAAAATAAAATTAAACGATTAACGACCAATTGACGACCTCTACTCGATTCTAAGAAAAACAAGATAGTAACGACAGCGCAGTGGCGTCCGCAGGATTTTTCAATGGGGGGGGGCTTTAAAATTAGTTACAATTTTCTTTTCAATTTGTCTAGTCTAATAATTTCAGACGTTTATTTGAGGTATTTTAAAATGTTTGTAACTTTTCAACTTTTCTGGTAGAAAAAATGCTCTGATCATAAGCTTCAATGCTCAGTGTATATTTTTGGAAGCAAATTGTATCTAGTTGATTTTATTAATTTGGTTGAAATTGAAAATGCTCAGTGCTTTTAAAAATAATTTGAGAAAATAAAATGAAAATTTATTTAAATGTTTGGTTATACCGTCTTCACTTGGATTGTATTTGAATAATTAAATTTTTTTTTTCTATAAATGTCAAAAAAAAATTACTTATCCGGTCAAAAAGCTTAAAAATGTAATACGTAAGTTTTTTTATTATAGCTAAAATATTAACGATACATAGGCATCATGCTTATTTTTTATAAGCATTTAAAGTTCAAATTTCGTCAAAACCACATTTAATTTGTAGTTTAAAACTTATAAAATATTAAATGTGTATAGCTAAGGTTAGACAATTTAATACAAGGTCTTTCATACAAATAGTTCATACTTTTACAGAAAAATTATAGATTATTTATGCAAATTGGTATGTTACAAATACAATGTTTTTTCAAAAATGAATTCATTCTGGTAAGACATATTTGAAATGTACGTTCGCTTACTATAGTTGACGGTTTAACTTGATTAATATTTTTTTGAAAAAGTAATACTAATAGGGGTAAAGGGGGGCTTTAGCCCTTTAGCCCACACCCCTGCGGACGCCACTGCGACAGCGTATAATTCAGCAATCATGGAAGATACTAAAACCAAACTTTTATTCTAGGTAATATTCAGTACAATAATACAATAAGCAAAATACCCATGGTAAATACTACATTTTTTGGAGTTATACTACGACACTTACTTTTAAAAATATTAATTTTTGATAAAAATAATTACTTCTTCAAATTAATAAAAATAATTTGTACATTTCTGGTTTAATTGCGTACTTTGGTTGATAGAACACTTAAATTTGAGATAAAAAACAATTACGTCAAAATGTTGATTAGTTTTGAAGATATACATAAGAAAATGTGTGATAGGTTTGATTTTGATAAAAAAAAGTTAACTGCCCATAACTTAAAGAATAAAAAAGTTAGACCCACTCTTTAAAGGGTATTTCTTCATCATTTTGGGTATACTTTCGTATGACGTCGGCCGGTCACTTCACCCCGGGACACGTTGTATATATATATAATTATACTGTACGTGTGTTGTGATTGAACTCCTCCTAAACGGTTGGACCGATTTGAATGAATTTTTTTGTATGCGTTTGGGTGACGCCCCGGATTGTTTAGATTCACAAATCATCCCCCTGGGTCCAACCAGGGGATGTGCTCAAACGGGGATTTAGAGATTTACGGTGGAAAATTTTTGTTTATAGATGGTTGCCATGGGTTTTAAAACTATTATATTAATTATTATTTGTGGCCGTAAAATCAGTGTATTCGTTCAATGCATTTAATTTTTTTATACGCTGTATACGCTGTTTTATACGCTATTTATTGCAATTACGTAAATATTGAGCTTATTATACTCAAATATAAGTTACGTACATAAAACAATGCCACGTTTTCATGGACGAGGAGGAAATATTGGTCGACAGACTCGGCACTAGTCCAGTCGTTTAAGAGGAGTTCAGTGACATACTTGGTATAACTTTTAAACTTATGAGTTAAATCATAAAATTATATACGTACAAACAGCACAGGGTCCGCGATCTACCGCAGGTAGGTTGCCTACCTGATAAATGATAATATATTGCTGCGAATCAGAATTTTTATTCCAGGCAACAGAAAAGATAAGATAAATTTTGAACCGCATACACCGAATATTAAATAATTAATTGAACAAAGTATATAGATGAGTAGGTACATTTAACGGGAAACGAAGTGCACGGGATCGGCCATTTATGGTATAATATTATAATCAATATCCCACCATAGTTTCTGTTATGGAAAGTATGACAACCGTGGGTCATGGAAGCCTAATCAATGATTCGAGAATTTATTTTTATAGATTTTTAAGAAAATTCTTTTATTGTACTTATATTATTAATTGTATTATATAATTAAATTATATAAGTATAAACTAATAGTTAATTAGATACACCTGTCAAATAGTACTCTGTTCACATTAATGAACCACTCGGGTGACCAAAATATACGTTGTTTATTTCAGTTTATTATATCTAAAAATAACGATTTAAGAACTACCCCTCTTAATCTACACGTCAACTTATTTTATTGTTATAACATTATATTATGCAAGGCCATAGTGCCATACTGTTGTATAAATATACATAATAATATATAGATTGTCTGAAAAAATTTATTATAAAGCAAA